AGACTGAGGCAGGAGAATTGCTTGAACCTGGGAGGCGGAGGTGGCAGTGAGCCCAGATCGCACCACTGCACTCCAGCCTGGGCAACAGAGCGGAACTCTGTCTCAAAAAAAACAAAAACAAAAAAGAAAAGCTCCATAAGCCTTAAAGAGGGAGGAAATTTTGTCACAGGCTACAACAGGGGTGAACCTCGAGGACATTATGCCAGGTGGAAAAGGCCGGTCCCAAAAGGATAAACGCCACACGGTCCACTTAGCTGAGGTCCGTAGAGCAGTCAAATTCACAGAGGCAGAAGCTAGAATGGCAGTGCCAGGGCTGCGGGTAGGGGCTCGGGGAACGGGAGTGAGTGTTTCAGGGGTGCAGAGCTTGGGTTTGGGAAGATAACAAAGTTCTGGAGACGGATGTCTGTGATGACGGCATAACGATGTGGACGTTCTGACGCCACTGAGCGGCACACTTACAAATGGCTAAAATGATCCGCTTTATGGCAAGCACATTTTATCACAATTAAAAAATAAAGTGCGACATAGTGAGCTGGGTTAAAGAAAAATATGAAGGAAATCACGGCACAGGAAGATCATGAATCTGGCTCGCATGAGGGACATGGAGCTTGGATGGCTGGTGTTTGGGAAAGGTCAGGCTTCTCTACCTTACAGGGCAGAGCACAGAGTCTGGAGCTGGGCTGCCTGGGTGTGAGACCCACTCTCCCACTTATGGCTGTGTGACCTTAGGTGAGTCACTTCACCTCTCTGAGCCTCAGATTCCTCGTCTGTAAAGTGGAACCATAGTAGCACGTACTACATAGACTTGCTGTGGGGATTCGATGAGCCGATATTTATTAAGTGCTTGGAACGGGGCCTGGCATGCAATAAGTGCTCTCTAAGTGTTTGTTAAACAAACAGACTTGCCTGAGGAGAAGCCCAGGCAGAGAGCTTGCCTCGTCTGTCCGAGGGCCCCTCTGCAAGTTAAGCCCAGGGAGGGAACCCTGCCTCAGCCGCAGGTCCCGCGCGTCAGGGCGGAGAGCTGTGACTCCAGCAACCGCGCTCTGCTTCTGGGAGCGTCTGGTATCCGTGGTGAGCAGCTGCCTCGGAGGCTGGGCTCCCAGCGACGCCCCAGCCCTCCTCCTCCCCCACCAGCCCAGCACAGCCACTGAGCTGTCTGCCCAGCCCCAGCCTCTGCCAGCGCCTCGGGGCCTCTCCCTAGTCTCTTCCAAAGACCCTTTGGAAACAAATGGCTATCCATGAAGAAATGAATAAACAAATTGTGGTACACCCAGACCATGGAATATTATTCAGCCATAAAAAGAAATGAGGTTCTGATACATGCTATAATGTGGAACGAACCGTAAACATCATGAAAGAAGCCAGACATGAAAGGCCACGTAATGTATGATTCCATTTACATGAAATGTCCAGAATGGGTAAATCCGTAGAGACAGAAGACAGGCTGGTGCTTGCCGGGGCTGGGGGAGGGGAGATGGGGGGTGACTGCTAGCGGGTTTGAGCTTTGCTCTGGGGGAATGGGAAAGTTCTGGAATTGGAGAGAGATGTGGATGCTCAGCACTGTGAGTGCACTAAATGCCAAGTTGAACACTTAAAAATGATCAAGTTTATCTTATATGAATCTTACCCCAATGATTATTTTAACTAAAAAAGATCCCTTTAGCCCTGTGAAGTGTAGCCACCAGGGACCCCCTGTTACTGAGCCTGAAACTGCCACGCTGGGCGGCTCCCATCCCTGTCTGGGTGCCCACTTCCCCACCTCGGTGCCTCCACCAGCCTCTGCCAGAACCCCCTGAAGCCACCCTCCACTTGGAAAAACCCATCGCCCTGGGGCAGGGACCACCATGAGCTCCCGTCTGCTCTTCAGGGAGCAGCCTCCACCTGCAATTCCGTGGTCTACCACATTGCCCTGTCTGACTGGGATGAAGATGGTGTGAATAACAGTGCCCTTGAGTCCCCACGGTGTGTCAGGTTTGGGGCTGGAAGCTGAATTCTTGCCCTATCTTCACGGAATTCCAACCGATTGCCAAGACCCATTTTACAGATGCATAAACCCAGGTGCTGAGAAGCAGTTGTCGGAGATGAGACTGACCCTGTTAGGCTGCAGAGGCCGTGGGCTCAGCTTCTGCAGCGCCTTGCTCACTCCTCCGGGCTGGAGGCTTTGTTTCGCTCACCTTTGCACCTCCCATCCCCCTGCCAACCCAAGTAAGGCCTCTACCCATGCCAGGGACTCCAAGAGCCGAGTCGCACTGGAAACAGACTTCCCGAGACTGTGAGAAATTGGCATTTAAATGACCCGTGACCTTGTGTGTGTTCTGATGACAAGTGGCAGTGGGGGCAGGGTATAGGTGACAATCTGGCGTGTCCTGAGTCATCTGAGGGTCCAGGAAGGGTCACCGAGGAAAGGAGAAATGCGCAGAGATGAACAGAGGGGCACGGTTGCAGGTGGTCGCCTGCCGGCCAACTCAGCTCAGAGCTGACATCTCCCAAGACCCAGATCACTGGGGAGGAGAGGAGACACGGATGCTGGTGCTGGGGACTTTGATAAAACCGCTGCAAGATCAGAGTCCCTGCAAGTCCCCAGTGTCTGATTACACCCCAGCTCGGGGGAGGGCTATGCCTACCCCCAAGCCGGGCCCAGGGCCTCCCCCTACAAAGCCTATTTTAAACCCAGCCCAATTCAGGGGATGAGTCCCAGTGCCGGCCTCACCAAGAGCTGCCTTCTCTCCTTCCCTCCCCACCTCACCGAAAAGGGAAACCATTTTTCTGTAATTACAAGCATTGTGCTGTGTGATTACTGTATTCCGTAATGACAGGCGTGCCACCTCCCCGAGCCGGTACACTGGGCCCACTCTGCTGTTGACATAGATATCTTCCTGGCATGCACATGGTGTCAGGAAGGCCCTCAGCTTCAGAGGGTCTGCAGTGCGGTGTTCCCTGGAAAACAAGCAGGGGGGTTCTGGGTGCTCCTCTTCCCCGCCACCCTCTCCTGCAGGCCGCAGGGGCAGCCAGCCTTCATCAGCCTGGCATCGCTGTCACGTGACGACACGTACCAAAATAGCAGCTGAGCGCAATCTTTTTAAAAATGAGCTGGTTCAGGTATTTACTAAAATACCATTTTTAAATGTCTGGGTCTTCGACTGGCATTTTTGCATATGTTGGCCACAGCTCAAGGGTTTCATCTGAACGCAACTTAATTGGAGCCAAGAAAATGAAAAGAAGAAAAAGCAATTTCAATCGGACTGAATCAACATCTATTAATGGCTGTTTAACATATTTCTGCTAATAATCATGCATTAAATAATGTGCATTTTAAATCTGGCTAAATATACAATAGTCCATCCCTGGCCCAAAAGGTAAACAATGACAGTTAAAAATAGTCCCAGTACGTATTTACATTTTTTCCCGCCCTGAGCCTTTTTGGTTTATAGTTCATCATTCCAAGGGTAAGAATTCTAAAATTTTCTCTGTGTATTTACATAACTGAGCAATTGCTATGTATCACATTGGCTATCAGACCCTTCCAAGAAAAATGAGTTTTTATCTCGACCTCTGCACAACAATGGTCAGAAGGAAAAGTTGTGTGAAATGAGTGCAGCCCCTGCAGGGGTCCAGGACGGCTCTGATGTCCACACATCCTCTTTTGCCCTCCTGGGGCACGCGCCCCAGAGCTTCCCAGCAAGCTCTCCTGGGGTGAGCCTGCCACCCACAGAGAATACAATCCCTCTGGGTGCCTGCCTTCCAGTTTCTGAGTCCAGACCGAAACGAGATCATTGCTAAGGAGAATGGCAGGTCACCTTTCTTCCAGATTCATTTCAAGGAAGGAACCTGCATCTCCTCTTGTACAGTATAGCACTTAGGTGGGGGAGGGGAAGGAGACCTGGCAGGAAACATTTCTTTGTGGGTTTGCTGCTGCCAGAGCCAGCGTTTTCCTCCTGGGGCAGTGCTCTCGGGTACCAATCCCAGTAGGCCTGGTGGGGAGGAGGACACCTCCTCCTGCATCCAAATCCCTTCCACGGGGATGTGGTCTGTCCTCCAGTGGTGGCTAGGTCTCTCTCTCTTAGGGTCCAGCCAGAGCGGGGCACCAGGTGAAGTGTTACCTTGGCAGGTGATCCATGGGTCCCTGGCTTGGGCTGGTCCTCAGCACCAAACCAGCTCCTCCCTTGGGGTGCAGAAGTTGTCTGATGACCTTTCAAAAGGTGAGGGGGCTGCTGTGTCCCCCAGGGCCTCTCCTCTGGTCAGGGAGCCACTTAGCATTCTGCTTATGGTAGTTCTGCCTGAGAATTTATGGTATTTATCTGGAGATGTCAGGGGTGTAAGGTTTGTGGGTACACAAGGAGGCGCCGGCACTGCAGTTCCCCACGCCCTCCGCGGTGCCCACATTGCTGCTGGCGTGGAGGATGCTCAATCGTCCAGACCTTAGTTTCTAAATCCCACGGGGCTGGGGAGCGGCACCCCTGGCTTCCTGCCCTGAGCCCATGAGGTGGGGAAGAGGGAGGGCCGGGGACAGGCCGTGTGTCAGAGTCCCTGCCTGGCCCCTGGCTGCACCCCCAGTCCAGTCCTCAGCCTCAGTTAACTGCGATCTTCACATAATGGGGCTTTCCCCCACTTTGAAACGGTTCTCACTTCATCCAGATTCTTAAGTTCTGCACGGGCTGTGGCTAGGGGAGAAGCAGAGGCGGGTTTCTGGATTCAAGTTCAGGCCCCCAGTACCCTGTAGCCTCCAGCTCTCCTCTCCATCCCTGGCCTTCAGCCTCCCCCTGTGACAAATTGACACTGATTCCTCGGGGTCCTGCTGCCTGGGGGAGGGGGCCAGAGCGCTCTCCTGATGCGGGAACCGGGGCCACCCAGGCTACGCCCGGCTCTCGGGGGCTGGCTCAAGGCCCCCTCCCGTAGTAACGATCCATCCCTGGGGCCCTGGCTGGGGGCGCACCTCGCAGGGCCGCTCGGGGCCCCACTGCCCGCCCCGACTGATAAGAAGGTCCCGGAGCGGTGGAGACGCGCCCCGCGCAGCGGGAGGCCGGGGGCGGGCCGGGACCCGGGGACCAGCGGCTGCTCCTCTGCCGCCATCGTCCCGCGCCGCTCGCTGGGCGTCGGAGGAGCGCGGGGCGGGGCGAGGACGGTGTCCGCAGGTAACCCGCGGGGGGCGGGGAGGTCTGCCCGGGACCCCCAGACCAAAACGCCGAGTGGGAGGAGCGGCGCGGCTGTGCGCTAGGGCAGCCAAGTTTGCCTCCAGCACGCGCGCTCCGCGTCCTGCCTCTGGGGAGGAGAGGGGACTGTCCCCTCCCGAGCGGGGCTCGGACCTTGGCCCCCAGAGCCGCCGCAGACCTCCAGGGGGGACTTCGTCGCTCCCTCTTCTGGACTCACTGGGTCCCGGTGCATCCAAGCCGCTCAGCGAACGCGCCATGCAGGAGGGCGACATCAGCCTGGAGGGGCTGCCCCCCAGGGAAGCTCCCACAGCCGGTGAGTATCCAGGGCGGCATGAGGGGGTGAAGGTCCCCGAGCGCGGCTGCAGCGGACCTGGGAGGCCTCTGGGACAGTGGCTTGCGGAGGACACAGGGGCGCAAGGGGAGCAGGAGACAGGGACCCCCATCTCTGGTGGCAGGGACGGTCCCCACGCTCTGCTCCCGGTGAAGGTGAGACGGGAGGGACTGTGTCGGTCACAGGTCAGTTGCTGGGCACCGACAGGCAAACAGACAACAGACACAGCCCCGGGGCTGGGCTGGGGGCGCCGCTGGGCAGGGGCCCCTGGTTGGCCCCTGGGGAGGGATCCGCTAGGCCGGCTGGGCCGTTCCCAGTCCCTGGAGAGCGTCTTGCAGCGGATGCGAGGTTTTCGGATGTTTTTACAGGCGCTATTAATACACATAATATTTCCGTGCTATTCTGGAGATTTATTTGCGATATAAAGTCACTACTATGACTTGAAATCATAATGGAAACTGCAAGGAACTTAGAGACAAATGAGGCGGGGACGCTAGGCTGGAGAGGGAGTCCCTGGCTTCCTCCTCCGGCGGCACATAAATCACCACCAAGGTTATTTTTGTACCAATAATTTTAAAATAAATGACCCAAGCAATGTTTCCTGGATGATTTTCCCCTCCCAGTTCAGAGGTTATTAAATAAACCTAAAAGTGGGCTAGTGAGAGGGGGCCACAGTGTGGAGTGGGTTTTATTTAATCACAGGCTGACCTCCGCCCTTCTGAAGCCCTGGGTAGGAGGCAGTGCCCTGCAATCAGGATGCCACTGCCAACCGGGGACAGCTAACTATAGCTTGGGAAGCCCTCCTTTTATTCTTCCTCCCTCCCTCCCCCGACTTTCTTCTTTTCGAATTCCCATGGAGAAACTTATTCTGATACGTGCCTTTCAAACAGCCAGGTTTGGCTTCTTGCTAGAAATGACAGTGTATACTCATCAAACTAAAGGCCCAGGAGGAAGAGAAAAGGGCCCCTCCAGTCAAAGCAGGCAAAAAACCGGGGTGCTGAAGTGGGGCACCAGGGCCTGCTCTTGTGTGGCCAGGCTCCCTGCCTTCCTGGGCGGCTTCTTCAAGCTCACAGGTAGACACGACCTGTCCTGTGATCAGCTGGAAACACAGTCCCGGCTCCGTGTGTATGAACATCCCAGCAAGCTCCAGGCACTGATTAAAATGCTTCTCACATTTATCCACAGCACAGACCTGTGACTGGGTACATAGTCATCCGCATTGTGCAGACAAAGAAACTGAGGCCACACAGCGAGTCACTCATGGTACCAAAACTAGCACCCAGGCCTGTTGTCCTTGGCTACTTGGGGAGCTGAGGCAGGAGGATGGCTTGAGCCTACAGTGTGCCGAGATTGTGCCACTGCACTCCAACCTGGGTGACAGAGCAAGACCATGTACCAAAAAAAACAAAAAGGCACCGTGGCTCACGCCTGTAATTCCAGCACTTTGGGAGGCTGAGGTGGGTGGATCACGAGGCCAGGAGATCAAGACCATCCTGGCCAACACGGTGAAATCCCATCTCTACTAAAAGTACAAAAATTGGCTTGGTATGATGGCATGAGCCTGTAATCCCAGCTACTCGGGAGGCTGAGGCATGAAAATCCCTTGAACCTAGGAGGTGGAGGTTGCAGTGAGCCAAGACATTGCATTCCAGCCTGGGTGATAGAGCAAGATTCCATCTCAAAAAAAAAAAAAAAAACAACAACAAAAAACCCAACACTAGAGCCCAGGATGTCCAAGTCCAGCTGCTGTGAGGCCACTGCCTCTCCCTTTCCCCCACCCCAGGCAGGATCACACAACAATGCATCTAGCACATCCTGAGGAAATGTTCCGGGTGCACAAGGGTGTCTTCTGGAGCCCTTCGCTTTGGCCTCTACAGGCTGCCCACTTGGGCACGGGCCGTAACTCCAATGTGAGGACCTGGAGTGGTCCTTGCTGGAAGATTCAGCTGATCAGATCTGAGCCACAATCAGGGATGGGTGACGGCCACAGCCTCCACTCCCATAGAGTGGGCCTCTCCTGTCCTCCCCCACAACTCCTGCCACACCTCGGCTGCTTGGGAGGTGGAATCACACCTCCACCCCTCTGCTCTGGGTATCAGCAGTGTCAGGAGTAAGACCCCGGGATGGGTGTCCCAGCCTTTCTCGGTTTGCCGCCAGGTGCACCGTTCCACTGCAGCTGCCTGAGGAAATTCCGCGGACAGCCTCACAGCACCACGCCACTCTTGCTCTGTCCATGTCATTTATACCTGGGGGCTGTCAGTGGCATTCGCTGGTAAATAGGAAATTTAAAAAGCCACAGAGTTGGAGGACAGAAAGAGATCTGAGGTCCCCCTTTTTCCTGCCCGAGCACCCAGGCCCGGAGAGGGGAAGCACTTGTCTGTGACGCACACAGAGCCCAGATTCCAGAGCCAGCCTCCCAGGTCTGAATCCCAGCTCTGCCGCCTGCATTCCTGTGCTCGTGGCCAGCTCACTTAACCACTCTGCGCCTTATCTGTAAAGCCCAGAGGGTGACTGTGAAAATGACTTGAGTCTAGTCTTTCCAAGGTACCTGGCTCTGTTCCGTGCATGAGTGAGTATTGTCATTGTCAACGTCATCACTGCAAGCATCAGCCACATGACCCAGATGTGAAGTCACACGCAGTGCTCTGCGATTGATCCTGTAACCTGCTCATTCTCACTCCCCAGCAAAACCACAAGCCCAGGCTCCCAGGGAGCAATTGACTGGTACAGATGCCCCCTCCCATTCTGCCTTCTTAGCAGCTCTTTAGTTAATCTTTAATAAGCTATTTATCCTCTCCTGGTCTGAACCTCCCACAAGGACAGGTAGAGTTAGGGTGAGGTCTGCGGCATCCCTCCACCAGGACGTGTCTGCCCAGTTTGCTCCTGTGCAACCTGAAAACCCAGCTGGGATATCCCCTTTACTTGGAAATCAACCCACGTGCTTCTCTGTACTAACAGTACCCTGGGCACCAAGTGAAGGAGGAAGGGAGGAAGGAAGGAAGGAAGGAAGGTAGGAAGGAATGAAGGAAGGAAGGGAGGGAGGGAGGGAGGGAAGATGAAGCTAGCTAATGCTTGTTGAGAAGGTGACTGCATGCCAGGCACCCATGGAACTCCTGGCATCTGTCTCATCATTTGCAACCTTCACTTGCTGTATGAGGTGGGTCCCATTGTTTTCCCCCACTTATCATGAGGAAACTATGGCACGAGAGATTATGGAAGACCCTGTAGCTCATAAGTGGTAGAGGCAGGATTTGAACTCCAGGCAAGCAAGCTGTGCATTTAATCATGGTGCTATCTTACCCGCTCAGCAAAGGTGGAAAGAGCTGTCCCTCCTGAAGCTTCCACCCACAGAGCTATTGAGCACCCACTCTGTGCCTGACACATTGAGTGGGTGGTGTGGGAACACACCTGAAAGAGGTGGGGGAAGAACATTCCAGACAGAAGGAACAGCCAGCGCAGAAGCCCCAGCACTGAGGTTTCTTGCGTGTGCTCAGTGGGTCCCAGGACCAGCCAGGAGAGAGTGCAGGGAGGGGAGGCGGAGGGAAAGAGGGAGCAGGAGGGGCAACCCAAGAAGTATGGAAGGTGTGGAGCCAGTGTGGGGGTCTCCATGGCCACTGTGACCGTGGGAGCTAAGTAACATCTCCCTCAGCCCCCCCTCCCCCCGCCACCTGCCACTGCAGTAGGGTTTGGAGCAGAGAACAGATCTGAGCTGACTCAGGTTCTGGCAGACCACTCTGGCTGTCCCACAGAGAACAGGCTGACGGGGCAGGGGCAGAAGGCTGCTCAGAGGCTCTTGAGATAATCTGGGTGCAAGAGGAAGGTAAGGGAGGGTGGCCCTGGGTCTATTTTGAAAGTAGGGCCCACAGGAATTTCTGGCAAATGGGACGTGGGGGCTGAGAGCAGGAGAGGAGTCAAGAGTGGTTCTGAGATTTTTGGATTAAGTGCCTGGAAGAAGGAAGAGTCCACAAGGAGAGGTTTGGGTGGGGATAAGTGAGGGATTCACTCTTGTTGCTTTGTTTTAAATTGTGGTAGATATTATATGTACCATAACATTGTAAATGTTTTAACTGTACAATTCAGTGGCATTGAATATATTCATGATGTCATGCAACTATCATCATTATCTATTTTCAAAACCTTTTCATCACCCCAAATAGGAATTCTGTATCCATTAAATAGTCACTCCCCTTTTCCCACCCTACCCTGCCTCCCCTAGCCCTTGGTAACCCCTATTCTGATTTCTGTCCTATAAATTTGTCTCTTCTAGATACCTCATGTAAATGGTGTCACTCAATATTTGTCCCTGTGTGTCTGGCTTCTTTCACTTGGCATGTTTTCAAGGCATCCGTGTTGTAGCACATATCAGTAATCATCAGTTTCACAGCTGAATAACGTTCCGTTGCGTGGACATACCGCACTGTGTTCATCTAGTCAGCCATCAATAGACATTTGGGTTATTTCTACCTTTTGGCTATTTTTTATATGCTGCAATGAACATTTGCATGTGAGAGTCTGTTTGAGTTCCTGTTTTCAAATCTTTGAGGTATATACCTAGAAGTAAAACTGCTGGATCATATAGTTCTATCTTTAGCCTTTTAAGAAACTGACGAACTGTTTTACACAATGGCTGCACCGTTTTGCAGGCCCACAGCTAGTGTATGAGGGTTCTAGCATCTCCACATCCTTACCAGCACTGGACGGATAGATAGATAGATAGATAGTTTAATTACAGCGATCCTGGTGAACATGAAGTGGTATCTCGCTGTGGCTTTGACTTACATTGGCCTAATCACCATGTCATTATATTGAGCATGTACTTAGAGATCATTTGTCTATCTTCTTGGGAGAAATATCTACTCAGTTTCTTTGTCTATTTTCTAATTGAGGTGTTTGCTTTTTTGTTGTTGGATTGCAGGAGTTTTTATAGAGCCTGGATATTAAACTTTCATCAGTTCTGTGATTTACAAATATCTCCTCCCATT